GTTCTCCCTTACAAGGTGTAAATGCGTCGTGATATACGCGCCGGGATATATCGGGGACAATTTATTTGGAAGAGAACCGCTTCGCACCCTTGCTTCCTTACTACAACCCTTTCACACAAAAACCAACACTTATACTTCAAAAATAGGGCATACAATCCAGTATCACAAACCGTAAGGTTGCCATTAACACATCAAAGAAAGGATTTCCAATCTTAAGCATGAAGGAATAGGGTTTATTTAAAATACATGCTCGCAAAAAGGCTTTGCGATCGTTCCAGGCACCGTGCTGAGCCGAGATGATTGCAAAACGAATAAATAATGTGCACATGTAGCTGCGCGCGCGCATATTACATGTCACCCGTGTAAACGTGTTTATTTTTAACTGGCAACGACTTTTTAAATTATTAAAATTGTTATGTTGTTGAGATAAAATTAAAAACTCTCCATGTCATTAGTTTTGTCGTATTTCAGTGAGTTGTCAGCGAGGCTGCACACTTGCAAGCGGGCAAATATCTTGTTTAAATAAAATCTACAATCAGATGTAATGGTTGAGATAATGGAAACATGGTGTTTGTAAACCGAACGAAAAATACCGTCATTGTAGAGATTTATAATAAACAAAATATAAAGTAAGGGAGTATAAAACTTTTAAATGTGTATATTAATAATGTAGGCATGGAGTTCACACTAACAATCAGCAAAACAACTTATTTGTAGCTTATACATTGAATTTTCCATTCACTCGTTCGACTAGCTTTTTAATACCATTTGTCTAGGGAGAGGTATTATAAAAAAATTGTTAGAGCTGTCACAGCATCGACAGTAGACCCCGAACCAAATAGATTGCATTAATAAGCATGTTTACACAGACATCCTCCTCACGGTAAAACAGACGCCATTTGATTCACCCTTTATTTAGGCGAGGTAAAGGCATTCCTTGAGTCCTTATATAATTACGTCTGACGTCTACATTCAGCTCAGCATTCATACCAACACAGAGAGAACGTACTGAGGAAGTTGTAACCCGATGCGTTTCCGACGCAGCTTCGTAGGCGGGGGGTTAAGTCTCTCGATCAAAGGCGCCGCTGCGAGGCCACGCCCACCCCGCCTCACACACAAACACACACACACGAACGCAACCCTTTCACCGCCGCCGGTATGTTCACACTAAACACTGTGTTTCTATTGTTTACTTTATAGCTCAGGTTGCGTATATAGCGTGTTGTGAAACTACAACATATTGTTTCTGGGTTCTGTTATAACACTAAGATTTTCAGACCATTGTTCAGTAGTGCATGAAAAATGCCACAATGATGATACATGTTGCCTATATTAATACTTAAAGCAGAAAAAATGTTGGCTCATATAAAACAGAACGTCATCGAAGGTTGAGGGGCAAGCGCAATGAGGCACCGCGGCCTCGGTCGAGCAAGAAACGGAACAGGGGGTTTTTAAACTGATAAAAGAGTCTGACACTCTCTCTCGCCTTACTCTGGACGGGAAAAGACATTTGATGATTTTCCCCTCACAAAAAAGGGTATTTTAAGGGTATATCAAACAGTCATCAATAAAGAGAGGCTAGTATATAATAATATTTAAGTAATTCTGAAATATCATGCGCACATTATAAAAGTACAAAGGTACCTGTAATAATCAAAACATTCTCGATTAATTCGTGAATAGCTGCACAAACAAAGGTTTCCAAGCTTCAAGTAAGGTAACACCACAGGCCGGCGGACCTCAAAGACCTCGGAGTTTTTATATGAAACTCGAAAGTTTTTACAAAAGTAAGAATACCGGGGCCATAATGATGACGGCTCAATCATTAACCCATCAAGTTAAGTTGTGACAACATGCATCTCCGATCAACTGATTAATCATCTTTTAATTACATGTTTTGGCTTTTTTTTCAAAGTTATTTCATTAAGAATTCTTTATTTAAACTTGTCTTCATAAGAAAGCATTGTGCGTGTGTTGTTACATTGTTTCATTTTTTATTTGGATGATGGTAAGAATATTTTAAAATGGAAGCTGGCCATTATTTACTCCACTAGGTTGACTAGACGACCTATATACAACAGGTCATAATTTATACTTAATTCTGGTAGGTACTTGTACCTTATACTTCACCGTTGATATGAACTCATGTTTTTAAGTACTTAATGTTTTTTATTGAACTCCCAAAAAAGTATCTGAAAACAGATGCAACAGCAGCTAGTTAGTATCAATAGTAACCGATACATTCGTTGTTTGAACTTGTTTATGCAGTAACACGAGTCAACTTAAAATAACAAGGCAAAACACAGTATTGAAAATACAAGCCAATCCCAGACGTAGCAATATTGAGTTACAAAACTGTCAGTGACTGCCACTGACTGTTCTGATGGCTTGCAAGCCATGTAAATACAGTGATATGTTATTTTAGTAGCTAAAAAAGAAGAGGGAATAATTTCTTCATCTTTTTATACTCAGTAAAATAAAAAGTGTAGCTCTCCTTTTCCAGTTATACAGAAACGACTAACGCCATCTAGTATCGAGTAGTAGAACTATTATACTTTGATTCCATTCAAATTTTTTTTTATTTATTTAAGAAGTGTACGTCTTAATTTTAACTCTTTTTTAAGTACATGTTAGCCGATTTATTTTAGAATAGCGAATCTGACGAAAATATGCAATTATAAAACTTTACAGAAAGAAAAGAAGACTTGACTTAATGCAGCAATTTAATGTAGTAAAGACAATATTGTTGTCGTGATAAATTATTACAAATTAAAAATACCTAAACTGAATTTTATTTCTTTGTACTGCATAAAAACAGTAAAACGACCATAATAATATTTATGACTGGCTCACGCAAATTCATTAGATGTTTGATTAGTAGACGGCGCGAAGTTATTCACGACACGCGCGGCTTGAAGCAAATCAGCCATCCTCGGGTGAGTAAGCTATAAATATCATTTAAACCTAGACAATATTCTAGGATCTTACCACAACACAGATACCAAAAAATTTTACTAAATTTGTCTGTCAATATGTAAAGCTATTATTCTCCCATTCTGTTCGTTTCCTAATATTACACATAACTTCTTATTAAAACTGTTGAAGCGCGCATCAAATACACCTTTCCACAAGAACACTTGACACTTTCATTATTAGTTTACAAGTAAAATCCTATTCCCACGCCGGCAAAGTGAGTTTTTATTCACAAATCCACTGAAGCAGAATAATCTGAGTGACTTGTTGACATTTCGCTTTGTGTTCTTTGTTACAATTCAACTTTGCAAACTTATTTCTTCTAGTACTATTATCAAGCTACTAAGTATTCTTTTTAACAGTAAATGCAAGGTGTTCAAGATTATTGAATGATTACTTACTTAAATAAAAAAAACTGGTAGTATTCGAAGGACAAAAAAAGTTTGCAAATATGAGTAATACAATAACATATGGTGTTCAGTTAAGTACATTGCCAGCTCAGCCATATTTTACCACGACGAAAATATAAATAAAAAAATTCATTATTAAAAATCTTGCAAAAATTAAGCATTAGTTTTTGTCTTCAAATGCGACATCTATGGTTGAATAGAAAAACTAAGTTAACTAGTTCTCTGTAGTTCTCTATGCAATTCTGTTAATAAATACTTTGATGGAACAGTAGATGGCGCTAATCTTAAAACCTGCATTTTTTATGGATACAGTGATTAAAAAGTAAAAAATTTATGTGAAACAGATAACATCCATTTTTAACAAAATCTAAATGAAAGCAAATTTAAATTATGTATTAGGAACCTTTATGTACCTAAACTAGCATAGGTACTACAAACTAAATGATTATATACAAGATAAAAATGCTTAGAGGCTAGCTGGTTCTACTCCACAGGATGTTAAGAGGAATTTTTGATTTTAATTATTAAATTGTACGTACACCATGTTGTTAATTGTTGATGAACTTGTAAATGTGAATGCCCTGTAACCTATTATAATTAAGTTAGACTTGTAGAATATAGGTAATACTTGTGTCAGCTGAGAGTTGTCATGCTCACTCAGAGGTCTCATTGGCGGTGGCACGGGCACTGGATGGATCGCTCGATTCCCTATAATATGATTGAGTTGGGCGGTGCTCTTGTACGTGTCATGTTCGTAAACGGGCGCCGCCTATTGGGACTGGTCATTTCCAGGCTGTCTAAATATCTTGTCTTTGAGGTTAACTTCTTTTTCGTATTTTTTGCCTAAACATTAGTGTTACACTGTTCTCAGATATCAGAACCGACTAAATTATATAACAAAGAAATGTATTGTGAAACTGATTGAAAAAGAGTAACCATGGAGTTTCTTGCTCGTTTTTCTCCATAGGAATCTACACTTTGGAAAGAGCAAATAGCTTCACTAGAGGACAGACGGACAGACTGACACGCTTAATGTTAATAATTTTGATTTTGACTTTGTATTTGACTTTGACTTTGACTTTGACTTTGACTTTGACTTTGACTTTGACTTTGACTTTGACTTTGACTTTGACTTTGACTTTGACTTTTAATAGTGGACAAGTTTAGTATCAGCATTGCACCTGTTCGAAGCCGGTATTACTATAAACATTGTATAAAGACGTTTTAATGGATTTCATAAATAATTAAATAGTCCCTGGCTTCGGGGAGCGCGTCAGGATGTCGTAAACTATCGTAAGCGCGGGTCTGCGGATGGCGAGCAAGAGTAGCAATAGGCCTGACCGACTTAAATGCATTTTGTCACAGGACTCTGATAATTGTTAATAAAGGATAAATTTTAAATATTCACCATATCGATATTGTATATTATATTAGCTATCCAGCAGTTATTATGTACCTACACGTAAATGTGTTAACATTTTGAATATGATAAAACTCGTTCTTGGCCGGCTGTTACTTAAATAGTAATTCTTAGAAAAACAGACTTGATATCAAAGATATTTGCATACATTATCGGAGCCACTTTTATATTTGTTGCTAAAACAATTTGTGGCAGTTGACGCGCGAGACACGACCAGCATGGACTTCACCGACAAAGTAGTTCTCATTACTGGCGCGAGCGCTGGTATCGGCGAGTCCACCGCACTTCTGTTTGCTAAACTTGGCGCGAAGCTATCGCTGGTGGGAAGGAATCAAGCTAATCTGCAAGCTGTCGCCGATGAATGCGAGAAGCAGAAAGGGTTGAAGCCGCTGGCGATTGTCGCAGACCTGGGAACTGACGAGGGGGTTGAGAAGACTGCTAAGGACACTCTTGATCATTTTGGAAGGTAGGATATAAAGACCAGTTAATGTTGAAGTAATACCAGATAAAATTTTGTATAGTACCTAGCTGTGGGTGATGTAACTTTGAAAACAAAAACTTACTCTCGTGAAACTAGTATCTAAAGCTTTTTTAGTTAATTTTCATTCGTAAATGGATTTCTGCAAGACTCGTGGAACAAAAAATTCAATATTAAAGCAAAAACCAACAGAATTCATGTTATCATTTACAACATACGAAACAAGAGAAGAGGATACAGGACCCATACACTGTCTGGGAACGTAAGTAGCTGTAGGAAATAAAAAGCAAACCCCTACTGATATATGTAATTACCGCTGGAAGGATTAATAAAGGCGAATGCGGACAATGATGTCACGATGGGATTGAGAAATAATCCTTGTTGTCAATCTTACAGGCTAGACGTGCTGGTCAACAATGCAGCAGTGGGAGCCAGGACGACCATCCAGCTGGCGAACATGGAGACGTTTGACCGGGTGTTCAACGTGAACATCCGGGGCGTGTACAACCTGACGCGCCTGCTGGTGCCTGCCCTCATCGAGTCCAAGGGGAACATCGTCAACGTGTCCAGCATCATGGCCACTATGGTCACTACTGGGAACCTGCCGTACAGTCTTTCCAAGGTAACCTTTAGAGAGAATTCCACCAACTCAATAGATAGTCTAACAACTGTTTTTATTTTCTTACAATCTATGCTCACATTACGTGTTGTATCGACAGGCCGCCCTCGACCACTTCAGCCGCCTGATCGCTTACGAATTGGCTCCGAAGGGAGTTCGTGTCAATGTGGTCAGCCCTGGAATTACAGTGAGTACTCATTCCCTTTTCCCAATATTTCCTCAAATTATTGACACTCACTAAGTGGTAATTTCCCCCTTTTTAGGTAAGCACATTCGTCCAACGTTTGACTGGTTATACTGATGAGGAGTACCGCGCGTGGCTCAAAACAGCTGAAGCCACTATCCCGATGGGAACTGCCACTACTGGCGAAGACTGTGCCTACATGATCGCCCACCTCGCGTGCGATAAACTCAGCAGGGTTGTCTCCGGTGCCGTGGTGCCGGTAGATGGCGCCTTACAGTTTGCTGGTTCAGGAAACAGTGAAATTCTAAAGGAGCAGATTAAATGAAGCGTGTTTTTGGTTTTTAATTAAGGTTTGGTGCCATTTCCATTGTTGTTATAGTCATTCTTATTTAACAATAATGTTTTTTTATGATGTTTTGTTTATAATTATTAAGACAACCTTGAATAAATTGGAAGTTTAATTCAATACCTATGTAAAAAGAGAATTAAACAAAATCGATAAGTTTCGAATATTATATTTCCTGTCTTTTAAATGTTTCCAAAATTCCACGTATTACATAATATATTAATGTAAATATAATAAAAAAACTAGTTTCATCTCCGCTGTTAAACTGGTCCAGCTGTTGTTATTGTCTACCACACTATATTATAATTAGAATTAGGTAATTATCATTGTCATGAATATGTAAAGTCTGGCATTTAGGGTACATATATATCGGATAAATATCGAATAATATTAGCATGTGTGGTGTGGTCATTATACCAATAATTGTTGAATTAAAATATTATCGTGTGTTTCATTGTATTTTACCTTATTCTATATTCCACGATTCCACGCACATCTAAGGATTTGAATAGCTTGCCTGCAAGACTATTCCCGTCCAGTTGTAATCTAGATGTATTTTATTCAAGGCTAAAGTAAATAGGCTTAAAGTAATGCACCTTACCATCAACAATTTCATCACTGCTTACAAACAGGTGGGATTGCAGTCAAGCACTAGTTTATACCATAACAAAAATATGTTATGTACTACTATCGCCACTAACATAAACATATGTTTACAAGTGGACATGGTCAAGAAAATTGATTTGAGTGTTTCCATATCAAAATTTTTAATCCCTGCCCCAAGTACCTATTGTATTATCTTAATTAGAAAATCAAACATTAAAAAATGTGTCAAATCAATATTAGAAAAGAGTAAATTTATTTGAATACTTGGCATCTCTTTGTTCACAAAACAAGGTTTAACACCTTACCTCCATCGTGATAGTTCGCGACAATAGAAGAAAAATAGTTGCACGAACGCCAGCGTTTGCTTAGGGTTTGCTGAATTAAATTAAAACTGAGTACCTAGATACCTGCGAAAATCTATTGATATATTTCCATCATCATTTCATCTGCTTGGTGAATAGGTTACCAGGGCTGGTGAACCTCATTCCCCCATCTACAGCGACAACCGTCCCTGTCACCAGACGACTGTTGTCACTAGCCAGGTGGACTATCATTTGCGCGATGTCACTTCCTTGGCAAACTTCCCCCATTGGAATGGTGGGGGCGACGGATGACAACCAGCTCTGGTACTGGTCCTCTGTGTAGCCTGTTATCCGCTTTACTATGTTTGAGACCTGGAATGTACGATGACAATTGAATTGTTTGAGACACCTCAAATAAATAGATACTGTTTGTTTTCAAAAATTTCAGTTTCGTTCAGACTTATTTTTAGATTCTAGTTAGAGACTTACAGTCACTCCGGGGCTCACAGCATTGACCCGGACACCTTTAGGTGCCAGCTCTAGAGCTACCAGTCGTGTGAAGTGGTCCAGCGCCGCCTGAAATAGCAAGACAGCATACATTATTAAAAATAACCATATATAAATTAACTAAAATTCGCGGGTTACTCACGTGTAAATGATGAGAAAAGCTCTACTAGTTTCGAACCACAGAGGGGTTCTTCCTCATGAGCAGCGTGCGCGGACGCGGCGACGTCGCGCAGCCTACTGACCCCCCCCCCCCCTCTGTGGTTCGAAACTAGTAGAGCTTTTCTCATCATTTACACGTGAGTAACCCGCGAATTTTAGTTAATTTAGTATGTCTCACGATAGTTATTATAAAAACATATATAAATTATTTAATTTTAAAAGAGCTTCCAACTTAAGCGCGTGTCCCCGCAATACTGTAGCGACATCTACCACTGAATCTGATAACGAAAGTTCACACCAAATTAACAGATGGCGTTAATGGCAAAACAATGCGTTAAGGCATCGTGCAGGCAATACGATGCGATTTATAATTTAAATCTTAAACCCCCTACAGGTCCCCTGACCTTAACGAAGACACAATCTTTTTAATTCAAATTACTTCAAGAAAATAAGAAGGTTCTAAGTTGGTCTGACTGTACGTATGTTTGTCCACAATTATCTCACAGTATTCTTTAAAATATTAACCATCAAGTCAAAGGCATAGTGTTGGTACAAGTAGGTTGATATTTTAATCAGTGCCTTGTGTTACCGAATAGCAAAATTGACATTTCACGTAAAAATGTGTAATGTTTTTATAAAAACTATCGTGAGACATACTAAATTAACTACAAATCGCGGGTTACTCACGTGTAAATATTGAGAAAAGCTCTACTAGTTTCGAACCGCGCACGCGTCCGCGCACGCTGCTCATGAGGAAGAACCCCTCTGTGGTTCGAAACTAGTAGAGCTTTTCTCAATATTTACACGTGAGTAACCCGCGATTTTTAGTTAAAATGTGTAATATTATTAATTGGCCAGGGGTACTTATCATTGCTTACAAAATACTTCCAGGCGGAGTTTCGAAACACGCGCAGGAGATGAAAAAGGATGGTTTTTATTCAGTATGAGACCGACAATCCTCATCATCCAACAAAGGGCAAGATAAATCCGTCAAAAAGGCAATACTACTTATTCTTCTACTACCGTCGTAGCGTACCTTAGCCATCCCATAAGGCAAGCTGCCCACAGCGACCACAGTGGCAGAAATACTGGAGACGTTCACAATGTTCCCACCAGCCTCTATCAGTGCTGGCACCAGCAGCTTGGTGAGATGATACACTCCTCTCACGTTCACATTGAACACCTCGTCAAAGGTCGCCATGTCTGCGAGCTGGATGCAGGTCCTCACGCTTATACCTGCATTGTTCACCAGTACATCCAACCTGGCGACCAAACACCCAGTTTACATAATAATAAGCTAAATGCCATCAAACTAAACTTTGAGTCTTTCTATCTGGCTATGTCAATAATATTATCTATATATCAAAAGTTTACATTGAACAATAATACACTATTCTTATGTGGCAGGTGTAGATCCAGGTTTATGCTGGAAGACCGCATAAAAAGGTAGGTATCGAAAAGAAGTCATCAGACATGACTGGAGGCATTTCAAAGAATTAAATTCTGTAAAATGTTTGTATTTGTTTTTTAGAGATTGCTGATGTTATTGTTAGAGAACTGCCGAGAGCGTTATCTTTTAGAGTTTTATCGCAGAGATAAAATATTATAAATATTCGGAAATGTCAGTGCTCCCTGCTACATTTAATCAATTATAATTATGTACGTTAGCTACTTTTATAAAGCAATTCTATTACCTTTTAAAATGATCGAGAGTCTCCTTGGCAATCTTCTCAACTCCCTCATCAGTCCCCAGGTCTGCAACAATCGCCAGCGGCTTCACGCCCTTATGCTTCTCGCACTCGGCCGCGACTGCTCGCAAGTTAGCCTCATTCCTTCCCACCAGCGACAGCTTCGCGCCAAGTTTAGCGAACAGGAGAGCTGTGGACTCGCCTATTCCAGCACTCGCGCCAGTTACTAGCACTACTTTATCAGTGAAGTCTACGTTCATTTTAGTAAATATTAGTAACGTGTGTTTAACTGGAACGTTTGTACAATACTGAAGTGAACATAACGCGAGTGTATCGCGTGGAATATTGTTATTGTGTGCAACAGACTAGCACAAGTTCAATGACTTGCTCCAGCTCAGTCAGCCGGCTTCGTACTAAGTATAGGCTAAATATAGTCTAGATCTGCTTAAGTAACCGCATCAGTAACATTTTCAACAATTATACAGTCAGTATTAATGTGTGCTGTTCCTTTTTCCTGTTTTGTATGTTGTTAGGTAGATATAGAGTCATGCAGCATAACTCCTTGTTTTCTATTCCAAAAAAGTGACTGGCCAAAAATTTGAAGATGAATTGTTTTTTTGAAATAAAACGGTAAACCAGCTCATCGATTCCCTAATGGTAATCGGCGGCGCCAATGGTTACACAAAACACCAAAGGAGCTGCAAGTCTGCCGGCCTGTCTTGAGGGGAGGGGTGAAGGATTGGGCCTCCTGCAATCTCACATTTCAAAACAGCGTTAGTTGTGGTTGTTCAAGCCGATTCCTTTTAGGCCATGGTATCACTCAGGTCAAGTCAACCAATTCGTGAAGAAAGCTTGGCTCTCCCACAATTAAACTTGGCTTTCAGAAGTACTGAATGGCATTAAACATCGGATAAATGCTGAAAAAACAAAAACTATGAGTTTAGAGAGACGTTGATCGCACTATAGCGGCATCAGTGGACACCGCCCTTATATAGAGAGATTTTGAATCCGATTGGATTAAGATCAGATTGAAGAAAATTCTTTTTACTTGTTTTTATTTAATTTTTTGATTTTGATCAATGGTGGCAATGTTATCGAAATTCTTTAGATTCGTTACTTGTGTTTCACTGCGTGAGTGACGTTACCGAAAAGTTAGACCCAAAAAGTTAGCAACGCAATACAACTCCTCTGGGCTTGTGTGTGCCCATGGGCGGCGTTAATTGCTTACCATCAAGTGTTTCGTTTCATCCTTCGCTGACCTGTCCACACAAGACAACGAAATGAGTATGAGTGATGAGTGAAATGAGTTATTTAAGTATCTAAACGGGTAAAAAATACGGTTGAAACTAAAACGTAAAATAAAAGCAAAATAATTAATTTCAAATGGTTTTTAATATTCGTTTATGAAAATAAATAATTAGTTATCACAATTAACTGACTTAATAGCTTTAGACTTTGTATAAAGACTAGATCTAGAGATGATCTTGGTGACATTATTTGTCCATCACTGGGGTGTTTGTTGAGCTGTTGAACCTGTAGCCGCCGTCTACCTCGATAACGGTGCCTGTGACCAGCCTGCTGTGGTCACTGGCGAGGTGGACCACCATGCGAGCTATGTCAGATCCCACACACGGCTCCCCCAGGGGAATGTTACTGCTAAACGATGTCAACCATGCTCTGTACTCTTCCTCCGATTGACCTGTGATGCGTTTTACGAATTCTGACACCTGGTGGAAGAAAGTAATTGCGTTGATATAATATTCGTTAAAAAGAATACCTTAATAACTAAAATAGTGTAAGATAGATACAAAGATAAACATGTGTAAAAAGCAAGTAGAAAACTGTAAACATATAATTATATCAAATGTCGGTATAATCATATTGCGACTGTACTATCTTCACTGGAAAAGTTACGCTCTCACTCAATTGCTTTGAATTCTTGAGTCGCAAACGAGAAGTGAAAAAAAATCTGTTACCCCTTCGCAAAATAAATGACATTTCTAAGATATTATAATATAATCTGGTAACATTCTGTACTTGTATACTTACAGTGACTCCAGGACTGACTGTGTTGACTCTGGCTCGAGAGATATGAGACGGGTGAAGTGGTCCAGAGCAGCCTGAAAATTCAGAATCATCAGTAAATTGGTACCATCCAAACTAGTACTATATTGTGCTAGTATGAAGTCGAATCAGCTACTTCTGATAATTACCTTTGTCATGCTGTAGGGCAGACTGCCGACGGAGACCATGGTCGCTACAATGCTGGAGATGTTGACAATATTGCCCTTGCTCTCGACGAGGGCGGGGGCCAGGAGCTTGGTGAGGTAGTACACTCCCCTCACGTTGATCCTGAATACGTCGTCGAACATCTTCATGTCTGTGTCGTGGAGTAGCCACGTGAAGACACCAACAGCTGCATTGTTCACGAGAATGTCTAGTCTGGAAGTGAAAATAAAGATTTATTGAAAATAACAAATTGCTCGCGGAATTAATTAACTGTGAAAGCTCACGGGGTTAACTGAGTAATTTCTTTTAATAAATCCAGTATGTACCACTATACTTATAGAAAAACATACATGAATGTATCCTATAACTTGACAATTTCCATATGACGTAACTTCTTTTTCTATTGTTTTCGTCTTTCTTAGGCCAAAATTGTATAACATAAAAGATAGCTTCATTGATATATTCGCCAATAACCTCAGGAAATAATATCTGGGCAAAGCTGGGTCGAACCGGTAGGCCAAACTAATATTATAAATGCGAAAGTAACTCTGTCTGTCTGTCTTTTCTTTACGCCTAAACTGCTGAACCGATTTTTGTGAAATTTGGCACTGACATAGTTTGGAACTCGAGAAAGGACATAGGATAGTTTTTACATAAAAAATTTGCAGGGAGTCGCGGGCAAAAGATGACATAAATGAGTGAAGAAAACTAATCTTACCGTCCGAAATGGTCGAGAGTGTCCTTAGCAGTCTTCTCAACCCCCTCATCAGTCCCCAGGTCTGCGACAATCGCCAGCGGCTTCACGCCCTTCTGCTTCTCGCACTCGGCCGCGACTGCTCGCAAGTTAGCCTCATTCCTTCCCACCAGCGACAGCTTCGCGCCAAGTTTAGCAAACAGGAGAGCTATAGCCTCGCCTATACCAGCACTCGCGCCAGTTACTAGCACTACTTTATTTGAGAAATCGTAATCCATGTTGAGCTCGTTTTCCGCGTGCTTACTGCTACAAGCCTCGTTTACAACTGCTATTTATATTGAATGTACGCTTTATAAATGAGCGCTGTTGATATGATTATCATGACGCGCTGATACCGGCTTAGTCAATGACTAATAGAAGCTATGGCCATGACAATGATGTTTTTATTTATTTAAGCCCTTTGCCCTTACAGCTGTGCATAGTCCCACATTTGGGAGTTGCAGAAAAGAATAAACGGTGATTTAGAAAAGTAACGATTGAGTTTCTTGCTCGTTCTCCTCCATTCGAACCTGCACTTTGGAACGAGCACCTAGCTTCACTGACGAACAGACTGACAGACTACTATTCAATATTGAAGTTGCAAATACATGTTCAGGTTTGAATTGTAATAAATATTTTGAGTTTGAAAACTTTAGATTTTTTTCTTTTTAAATTAGACGTTGAAATTTTTATTCTATGAACAGATTATGTCAACCTTTTCAAAAAAGCTCACCAACTCTCTGCTTTAATGTTGAAAGACAGAACATCACCTTGACATCCAGGGGATGAGCATACTACAGAAAAATAGCTATAGTGAGTTCTGACCCTAAGCACGTCTTAGAATTCACTCGTAGCGGTCAGTGTTCCTATCCCAAGAGTGGTCTTAGTGACCGGTCTGCTGCGCTCGCTGGCGATATGTGCTATTAACCTGGTGTTGTCGTCTTCCACAGCCGGCTCCCCAACAGGAATCGATAATCAAGCTTCAACCAACCACTATTGGTTTTCCTCATCAATGTGCAATGATTTCTGACACATTGTATCAGCTTATTAAAAATTTTCTTACGTACAATATTGACCCTTCTTTTGAGCGGAGAAAATCCTGGGGGGGGGGGGGTTTACATTTTTGGGCTTGCACCCACAACTCCGGCTGAACATCAACACTATTGGGACCCCATCTGTGTTGGTCTATTGGCCCTTATTGACTATGTGCCCTCACGACAGAAAACATATCCATTATTCCTCAATAAGAGATATTAATATCAATTATGAAAAAGCGTGCGTGAGTGACTGATGTTGGAAAGGGCTGAAATTATTCGTTCAAAGAAAATGTTGCATTCTGTGTTTAATATGTTTTTCCAAGATTGCGAAGATATTAAATATAATGCCGGATTGAACCAGTCAACATACGCTACTATCTCGCTAACACAATCAGTTAGCACCTATCTACTAAATTGTTTTGACGAGCCTTTATCTTATTTGTTTACTTTTGTTTTATTTTTAGGGTACAGCGATTGCATAAAGTAATAATTTCAATTATAATGCGTATTTTACAAAACATTTTTTTTAAACACACAATTAGTAATTGTAATATGTATATGCAGGTATACAGATTATTTCATTCTACAATGAAATTACTGAATTCCTAATAACAAAACAACATGACCACTATAGACAACATATGTATGTAACTAAATCGTATGTATAGGAGATTCCTATAAATGTTATACTAAAGACTCCTATAAATATTAAGTCACTGTTATGGAGAAGGAAACTCAATGAAAAAAACATATGAACTCAACATCCAAGGTCAAACCAAGGTCTGGTACGGAACTCTTGAGAGTCAGATAATCTGGTTGACTCTGATACCATGTTCAATGATCCAGTATAGATACCTAATTTTATTATTATCAAATTGAATGTTGCACAACTTGGTGTAACCATTCCGCCTGGAGTATGCCTTGCAAAATCTTATGAAATACGTACATTGTACACACATGTACTAGTCACAATGACTGGCAATATTTTCTTATCATAATAACTCCCAAAAAAGAATATATAACAGGAGGAAACGCCCGAGTTTCGTCCTTGTGAGCATACTGTGGCAGTGTACCCTGCTTGGGCTTTGCACCGCCGTGACCTTATTTGTCGAGGCCATGGTGCGAGGCGAGAGGAACTGGGAAACCGGCTCCTCTTTCTGCGAAACAGTGATGCTCGCAAAGAAGGTGGTGTAGCGCGGAAGGGAGTTATCCTCTTCCTCACGCCCCAGCCGCCGCAGTAGGCAGCACCACAGGCTTAGGGATCGAGAGACAATCTCCGGCCACCGAAAGCGCAAGTTTGCGGAGGGCGAGCAAAGATCGTCGCCCGCCCGGCAAGAACTAGACCCGAGCGCACGGCGCGTTGCGTTCCGAACGCGCCTCAAAGAACACGGTCAGTGGGTAGCCTTAGGGGCGGATTTACACTCCCTCCTGCCCGACCCTGGGCGGGAAAAGAAATTTGATGATTTTCCCCTCAGAAAGAAAAGGGTTGACGCAGTGGCTGGTCAACCGGCTTCTGCGTAACGTCACGCAGCGCAGATTAAATTCCCGCGTCGGCCAAGAGCTAATAGTTTTAATCAAATGTTTATTTTGTGGTGTTTCAACCCCACACTGTTGATGTTGAGGTTATTTTTTCGGATTATTTGGTTAAATATTAGTAAGTATTAGTTTTTTCTCACATACCTAACGGAATAAACTTAATAATGTGACAAATAATTTAATTCTGGCACTGATTAGAAAAAAGTAACCATGGAGTTTCTTGCTAGTTCTTCTCCATAGAAATCTACACTTTGGAATGAGCAAATAGTTTTACCTATTCCTTATACATTAACAATAGGGGACTATCCGATGGACTGCTACTTTTTTAATTTTTTTTTTGTTGACAAGCGCAAAGTAGATCTTTTTCTCAAAAAAGAGAATCAGTGAAATCGGTTTATTCCCTCTCGAGATTTGAGTAACATATTTAGCGATATTTTGTATTAAAGATAACAATATAATTACACATAGATAGACTGAACAGTGTTTTATTTCTGCATTTTTCGGCTACAGTGAGAAATGTGCTGTGACTAGCCGCATTGTATTACGAGCTGTCCTTAGGACCGAGCACAAACATAATTTTAAAGAATTTAGTTTTACACAACATGTTTTATTGTTACACAGACAACGTACTGATGAAGATTGTCCTAGAAAAGTATAAGTCTGGAAGAGCCAAGCTCCGGCACGAATTCGAGCGGAGTGATACCACGGCTTCATATAAAACCGGCTTGAAACAACCAAAGCAGTGTCTTTTGCCGTATGGCTGAGCTTACCCAAGGTCCCTGCCCTTCCCAACCGTTCCCAATCCTCAAATATCCGAAGACTTTATTCTTAAAAGACGGGCAACGCACTCGTTACTCCTTTGGTGTTGTGGATGTACGTGGGCGGCGCTAATTGCTTACCACCAGAAAAAAGACTGGTTTTCAAGATAACTTGCGAGAAGCACAAGATCTTGAAGCCGCTGATGATCATTGCGGGCCAGGGGACTGATGAGACCTTCATCATGGAGAGTTTCAGATGACTGCTATGAAGAATTTTGAAGAGTTAAGAGGTACGTTAATAATATCTTTAACTAGCGACTTTCACGCGGTTTCACCCGCTGCTTGGTTCCATTTGATCGTAGCATGATGTCTTATAGCCTATAGCACTCAGGAACATTTTAGCTATCTATCAGTGAAATTTGGCAATCCGACCAACGGTTCCAAAGATTACCCCCTACATACAAACTTACAAATTTTACCTCTTTATAATATTAGTATAGATAGTAAAGATAATATATATTGAACATTTTTGTAAAAGTTTTTTATTTATGGTGTACTTGGAATGAAAGATTTTGACTTTTGACAGTTAATTTCTCTCTGTCTTTGCTATGAAACCCCTTTTAGTTCAAGGTTCATCGTCAAGTATATGCAATAATTGTTGGAACAATAACATACACACTCGATAGTTATTCAGATTACAACAATTGACGAGCTGTTATCAAACATATTAAGACGTTATCAGAAGGCAAATACTCATCACATTTGTGAGACTATTGCTAATCTTTCAGAATGCTTGAGACTGTATTGTTTTGTTTTTCAGCAATAATATTACCTAATACACCTATCAGTAAAGAAAAAATATTTTTTCGAGGCACTCTTGTCAAACTGCTACACTAGTGTTCTAAGCTAAAAAAATATTTTGGTAGGTAAGTTGATTCAAATGATATTCATTTTATTTTTTAAATACGCGTTTTTATTATATTGCAGATTAGGTCTACTTTCGACTCCTAGGATTAGAATAAATAAATCCCTTAATCCTTGGTCTGCAAACCGGAGTTAAATTGAATGAGTTGAAAGATGGAAAATTCATGGAGACGCTATCGAAGCTATAAGATAAACATATCACGATTCACGAGTGCTAATACATAGACCATGCGTTTCATATAAATAGCAGTGCTAGACGAAACTTGAGTCAGTGTGGAACCATAAGCGCAAGCAACATGAATTACGATTTCTCAAATAAAGTAGTGCTAGTAACTGGCGCTAGTGCTGGCATAGGCGAGGCTATAGCTCTCCTGTTCGCTAAACTTGGCGCGAAGCTGTCGCTTGTGGGAAGGAATGAGGCTAACTTGCGAGCAGTCGCGGCCGAGTGCGAGAAGCAGAAGGGCGTGAAGCCGCTGGCGATTGTCGCGGACCTGGGGACTGATGAGGGGGTCCAGAAGACTGCCAAAGATACCCTCAAACATTTCGGACGGTAATTATATATGGTTTAATTTAAGCTCACTACATTATTTCTCCTCTTTATTACATTTACGGTGCAAAGACTGGAAAACCTATATCTGATAATATCAGGAAAAAATATTGTTTACTTTCTTCATAATTTAATGATTTCTCTAACTTAAGCAGGTTACTCATAAAACTATAAAGCTACAAAATGCTTAATTCATACTATTTTTACTTCCAGACTAGACGTCCTCGTGAACAACGCAGCCATTGGTGTCTCGACATGGCTTCTGCATGAGACAGACATGAAGGTATTCGACGATGTGTTCAGGATCAACGTGAGGGGAGTGTACTACCTCACCAAGCTCCTGGCCCCCGCCCTCGTCGAGAGCAAGGGCAATATTGTCAACATCTCCAGTGTTGCTGCGACCATGGTCTCCGTCGGCAGTCTGCCTTACGGCATGACCAAGGTAATTATTATCAGAAGTTGTTTTGCGGCTAATTTTAATCCACAATATGGCAAATTAAACTTAAAATGTAGTGGCAAATTATTGATAATTCTGAATGATACTTTCCAGGCTGCTCTGGACCACTTCACCAGGCTAACATCCCTCGAGCTGGCTCCTAAGGGCGTCAGAGTCAACACAATCAGTCCTGGAGTTACTGTAAGTATATTCTATAAAACTTATCAAGACAACAAAAATATTTAAATAATCATAAAACAGGCACCAGACACGCCACAGTAAGATGTTTAAAAAAAAAACAATAAATAGAAACAAAAGAACCATATAAATATTTCGCAATAAAATACAATACAAGTTAATACAACGCACGAAAAAAATAACATTTCAATAAAAAATACACTATTAAGCTTTTTCTTCCAACAGGAATCGGAATTCGTAAAACGTATGACTGGATTCAGTGACAAGCAGTACAAAGAATGGTTGGCAACACTAAGCAAGAAGATCCCCATGGGGGAGCCATGTTTAGGAGGAGACATAGCTCGTACGGTCGTGCACATCGCCAGTGACTACAGCAGGCTGGTCACAGGGACAATCGTGGAAATAGACGGCGGCTACAGGTTCAACGGATCAAGACAAACTCCACTGTTTGACAAATAAATGATTTAAAAAACATTTTCGTATAACAAAATACTAATTTAAGATTAAGTGAACAATTGTGATAACGTTATATTTATTTACATATTAAAAGCCTTTTATTAAGTAATCCGCCTTTTTTATATCGTCAAGCACTATCTTATTAAGTTATATTCTAAAATCCGAAACTCAAGAGCTGATCGGATTGATCGGATTCAAAAGATGCTGCCATGAAGTATCTGGAAACAGCATTACGGATATACGGACGTTGATTCTAGTGCAGAAGTTGATGGCGTAACAATCCATTAGGTATATCTTTTTCGCAAAATTGTATATAAATGAGGAGTCGAAGGCCTTGAATTAACACTAATAAATTACTATGAGTGCAGCATTAGTATCAAATTATCAGTGCATTGTTAATTCATAGTGTCCCTAGAATTATCGATCAAGGACATTGTCTGTGACCGACTTCAAACTTAATGGGAAATCATTGAGCGAAACAAAAATTGGTCTTAACTTTTGAACCGTCAAGATTGTTGGTCGTTTACCAATTTCTAGATGAAAAATTTCAAAATGGGGTTCTTGTTACCGTTCAATTTGAACCATTCTTTCAGGGACAAAATAAAGAACTATTTGTGAAAAGTAGTGACAGAAATAATTTGAATAGACCTTCGAACCGTCAAGAAACGAGCGTATTCCTTCTTAGAAGGCCGGCAACGCACCTGTGAGTCATCTGGTGTTGCGGATGTCCATGGGCGGCGCCGATCGCTTACCATCAAGTGATCCGTCAGCTCGTTTGCCTCCTATTCCATAAAAAAAAATACTAGAGTAATTATCATTATTTAAAATAAGTTGACTAGCCCACAATACCGCTTGTCCGAAGTACAGAAATCCGTCCAAATTGCTATTATCAAACACCAAGCAGTATAATACTCCCTAATAAACGGTAATATAAAACTTAATTTAAGACATTGACGTTAACTTTGACGCCTAGCACAAAAAATTAAACAATTATTTTTTGTTTAAATTTTTCTCATTCCTAAACAGTTTATGCGATACTAGCGCCAGCGGCTTCGCTCGCATGCTGTGTTGATAAAAAGCAAAATTTGCTATTAACCATCTCATTTTTATGGTCACATCTCCAATGGGTAAATACCCTTACTAAGACTCTGCTATCCGTCCGTCCATAGATAGAATGGTACGGGGTGAATTTCCCGGGAACAAAAATTACGTGGCATCAATGAAATCGGTACTATAAGACATAGTTATAATTTTATAATATTTTTTTCTGGTTAGGTGACATAGTGAGCTATGTGTAGAATTCAATATTCATGAAATGGCATTAACAGAGGCTTCAAAAAAAATTTAAACCCCGAAATCTTTCATTGCCGTGTTTGTCCACATATCACCTTGATGTTTATTAGACGCCATTGATAAAAATCTATTAGCTTTTAATATTAAAACCTAGGTTTATTAGATACGTGAATAGTTAAAGTATTGTTACGGAATACATTTATTCATATATTTAAACAATACAATGAATGGTTAATAAAAATGCACTTGTCCTAGAACTACCTTTAATCGCCGTGTCCTAAATATATTAAAGAATATTGTTTTATCCAAGCACTTTCGCCCCCCACCCTTGTGCGCTAAAAATCGAATCAAAAACTTAAGAAAACACTATTTTTTCTTGTTCTAAAGTTGAAGAATAAAAAATCCACGGAAATGAGGATTTTTTTGGACTTGTTGAAATTCACCCTACGGATCTAACCAATAAGTAAGTATTATAAATATTTCACAAAACCTAAAATATTATATGATATTATATACCGCGTCACGTCGTGGGAATGTTATCGAAATTCTTTAGTTTCGTTACTTGTGTTTCACTGCGTGAGTGACGTTACCGAAAAGTTAGACCCAAAAAGTTAGCGACGCAATACAACTCCTCTGGGCTTGTGTGTGCCCATGGGCGGCGTTAATTGCTTACCATCAAGTGTTTCGTTTCATCCTTCGCTGACCTGTCCACACAAGACAACGGAATGAGTTTAAGTAACTAAACGGGTAAAAAATACGGTTGAAACTAAAGCGTAAAATAAAAGCAAAAGAATTAATTTCAAATGGTTTTTAATATTCGTTTATGAAAATAAATAATTAGTTATCACAATTAACTGACTTAATAGCTTTAGACTTTGTATAAAGACGAGATCTAGGGATGATCTTGGTGACATTATTTGTCCATCACTGGGGTGTTTGTTGAGCTGTTGAACCTGTAGCCGCCGTCTACCTCGATAACGGTGCCTGTGACCAGCCTGCTGTGGTCACTGGCGAGGTGGACCACCATACGAGCTATGTCAGATCCCACACACGGCTCCCCCAAGGGGATCTTACTGCTAAACGATGTCAACCATGCTCTGTACTCTTCCTCCGATTGACCTGTGATGCGTTTCACGAATTCTGATACCTGGTAGGAGAAAGTAATTGCGTTGATATAATATTCGTTAAAAATAATACCCTAATAACTAAAATAGTGTAAGATAGATACAAAGATAAACATGTGTAAAAAGCAAGTAGAAAACTGTAAACATATAATTATATCAAATGTCGGTATAATCATATATAAAGTTCGCTCTCATTCAATTGCTTTGAATTCTTGAGTCGCAAACGTGAAGTGAAAAAAAATCTGTTACCCCTTCGCAAAAATGTCATTTCTAAGATATTATAATATCATTCTGTACTTGTATACTTACAGTGACTCCAGGACTGACTGTGTTGACTCTGACGCCCTTAGGAGCCAGCTCAAGAGATATGAGACGGGTGAAGTGGTCCAGAGCAGCCTGAAAATCATCATTCAGAATCATCAGTAAATTGTTACCATCCAAACTAGTACTATATTGTGCTAGTATGAAGTCGAATCAGCTACTTCTGATAATTACCTTTGTCATGCCGTAGGGCAGACTGCCGACGGAGACCATGGTCGCTACAATGCTGGAGATGTTGACAATATTGCCCTTGCTCTCGACGAGGGCGGGGGCCAGGAGCTTGGTGAGGTAGTACACTCCCCTCACGTTGATCCTGAATACGTCGTCGAACATCTTCATGTCTGTCTCGTGGAGTAGCCACGTGAAGACACCAACAGCTGCATTGTTCACGAGAATGTCTAGTCTGGAAGTGAAAATAAAGATTTATTGAAAATAACAAATTGCTCGCGGAATTAATTAACTGTGAAAGCTCACGGGGTTAACTGAGTAATTTCTTTTAATAAATCCAGTATGTACCACTATACTTATAGAAAAACATACATGAATGTATCCTATAACTTGACAATTTCCATATGACGTAACTTCTTTTTCTATTGTTTTCGTCTTTCTTAGGCCAAAATTGTATAACATAAAAGATAGCTTCATTGATATATTCGCCAATAACCTCAGGAAATAATATCTGGGCAAAGCTGGGTCGAACCGGTAGGCCAAACTAATATTATAAATACGAAAGTAACTCTGTCTGTCTGTCTTTTCTTTACGCCTAAACTGCTGAACCGATTTTTGTGAAATTTGACACTGACATAGTTTGGAACTCGAGAAAGGACATGGGATAGTATTTACATAAAAAATTTGCAGGGAGTCGCGGGCAAAAGCTAGTAATGACATAAATGAGTGAAGAAAACTGATCTTACCGTCCGAAATGGTCGAGAGTGTCCTTAGCAGTCTTCTCAACCCCCTCATCAGTCCCCAGGTCTGCGACAATCGCCAGCGGCTTCACGCCCTTCTGCTTCTCGCACTCGGCCGCGACTGCTCGCAAGTTAGCCTCATTCCTTCCCACCAGCGACAGCTTCGCGCCAAGTTTAGCAAACAGGAGAGCTATAGCCTCGCCTATACCAGCACTCGCGCCAGTTACTAGCACTACTTTATTTGAGAAATCGTAATCCATGTTGAGCTCGTTTTCCGCGTGCTTACTGCTACAAGCCTCGTTTACAACTGCTATTTATATTGAATGTACGCTTTATAAATGAGCGCTGTTGATATGATTATCATGACGCGCTGATACCGGCTTAGTCAATGACTAATAGAAGCTATGGCCATGACAATGATGTTTTTATTTATTTAAGCCCTTTGCCCTTACAGCTGTGCATAGTCCCACATTTGGGAGTTGCAGAAAAGAATAAACGGTGATTTAGAAAAGTAACGATTGAGTTTCTTGCTCGTTCTCCTCCATTCGAACCCGCACTTTGGAACGAGCACCTAGCTTCACTGACGAACAGACTGACAGACTACTATTCAATATTGAAGTTGCAAATACATGTTCAGGTTTGAATTGTAATAAATATTTTGAGTTTGAAAACTTTAGATTTTTTTCTTTTTAAATTAGACGTTGGAATTTTTATTCGATGAACAGATTATGTCAACCTTTTCAAAAAAGCTCACCAACTCTCTGCTTTAATGTTGATCGACAGAACATCACCTTGACATCCAGGGGATGAGCATACTACAGAAAAATAGCTATAGTGAGTTCTGACCCTTAGCACAACTTAGAATTCGCTCGTAGCGGTCAGTGTACCTATATCAAGAGTGGTCTTAGAGACCGGTCTGCTGCACTCGCTGGCGATATGTGCTATTAACCTGGTGTTGTCGTCTTCCACAGCCGGCTCCCCAACAGGAATCGATAATCAAGCTTCAACCAACCACTATTGGTTTTCCTCATCAATGTGCAATGATTTCTGACACATTGTATCAGCTTATTAAAAATTTTCTTACGTACAATATTGACCCTTCTTTTGAGCGGAGAAAATCCTGGGGGGGGGGTGTACATTTTTGGGCTTGCACCCACAACTCCGGCTGAACATCAACACTATTGGGACCCCATCTGTGTTGGTCTATTGGCCCTTATTGACTATGTGCCCTCACGACAGAAAACATATCCATTATTCCTCAATAAGAGATATTAATATGTATAACAATTTTATTCCCCTGAGGAATGAGCAGGGAGCCATAGTATGTTTATGTTTATTTTAACAACCAATCATATTGTCATAATATCAATTATGAAAAAGCGTGCGTGAGTGACTGATGTTGGAAAGGGCTGAAATTATTCGTTCAAAGAAAATGTTGCATTCTGTGTTTAATATGTTTTTCCAAGATTGCGAAGATATTAAATATAATGCCGGATTGAACCAGTCAACATACGCTACTATCTCGCTAACGCAATCAGTTAGCACCTATCTACTAAATTGTTTTGACGAGCCTTTATCTTATTTGTTTACATTTATTTTATTTTTAGGGTACAGCGATTGCATAAAGTAATAATCTCAATTATAATGCGTATTTTACAAAACCTTTTTTTAAACACACAATTAGTAATTGTTTTATGTATATGCAGGTATACAAATTATTTCATTCTACAATCAAATTACTGAATTCCTAATAACAAAACAACATGACCACTATAGACAATATATGTATGTAACTAAATCGTATGTATAGGAGATTCCTACAAATGTTATACTAAAGACTCCTATAAATATTAAGTCACTGTTATGGAGAAGGAAACTCAATGATAAAACATGTGATCTCAACATCCAAGGTCAAACCAAGGTCTGGTACGGAACTCTTGAGAGTCAGATAATCAGGTTGACTCTGATACCATGTTCAATGATCCAGTATAGATACCTAATTTTATTATTATCAAATTGAATGTTGCACAACTTGGTGTAACCATTCCGCCTGGAGTATGCCTTGCAAAATGTTATGAAATACGTACACACATGCACTAGTCACAATGACTGGCAATATTTTCTTATCATAATAACTCCCAAAACAGAATATATAACAGGAGGAAACGCCCGAGTTTCGTCCTTGTGAGCATACGGTGGCAGTGTGCCCTGCTTGGGCTTTGCACCACTGTGACCTTCTTTGTCGAGGCCATGGTGCGAAGCGAGAGGAACTGGGAAACCGGCTCCTCTTTCTGCGAAACAGTTATGCTCGCAAAGAAGGTGGTGGAGCGCGGAAGGGAGTTATCCTATTCCTCACGCCCCAGCCGCCGCAGTAGGCAGCACCACAGGCTTAGGGATCGAGAGACAATCTCCGGCCACCGTAAGCGCAAGTCTGCGGACGGCTAGCAAAGATCGTCGCCCGCCCGCCCGGCCAGAACTAGACCCGAGCGCACGGCGCGTTGCGTTCCGAACGCGCCTCAAAGAATTTTTCAGTCAGTAAGACTCACACTCCCTCCTGCCCGACCCTGGGCGGGAAAAGAAATTTGATGATTTTTCCCTCAGAAAGAAAAGGGTTGGCGCAGTGGCTGGTCAACCGGCTACTGTGTAACGTCACGAAGCGCAGATTCAATTCCCGCGTCGGTCAAGAGCTAATAGTTTTTTAATCCCAATCAAATGTTTATTTTGTGGTGTTTCAACCCCACACTGTTGATGTTGAGGTTAGGTTAGGTTAGGTTTTTTTCGGATTATTTGGTTAAATGTTAATAAGTATTAGTTTTTTCTCACATAGGTACCAAACGGAATGAATGAAACTTAATAATGTGACAAATAATTTAATTCTGGCACTGATTGGAAAAAAGTAACCATGCTGCTGACTGCTACTTTTTTTAACAATTTTTTTTTTTTGACGGACGCAAAGTAGATCCTTTTCTCAAAAAAGAAAATCAGTGATATCGGTTTAGTCGCTCTCGAGATTTGAGTAACATATTTAGCGATATTTTATATTAAAGATAACAATATAATTACACATAGATAGACTGAACAGTGTTTTGTTTCTGCATTTTTCGGCTACAGTGAGAAATGTGCTGTGACTAGCCGCATTGTATTACGAGCTGTCCTTAGGACCGAGCACAAACATAATTTCAAAGAATTTCGTTTTACACGGCATGTTTTATTGTTACACAGACAACGTACTGATGTAGATTGTCCTAGAAACGTATAAGTGTGGGAGAGCCAAGCTCCGGCACGAATTCGACCGGAGTGATACCACGGCTTCACAGAAAACCGGCTTGAAACATACCTACTCAGCGTTGTGTATCCCTTCCCAATTCTTAAATATCCAAAACCTTTGTTCCTAAAAGGCCGGCAACTCGCTAGTTGCTCCTTTGGTGTTGTTGTTATCAGCTAGTCTGTCTGCTCGTTTTCCGACCTATGCCATAAAAAAGACGAGTTTACAAGATAACTTCCGAGAAGACAAGATCTTGAAGCCGCTGACCATCGCTGACCCCTGGGGACTGTACCTATTTATGGTTAAGTTGAAATAAAAGATTTAGAATTTTGACAGTTAATTTCTATGTGTCTTTGCTATGAAACCCCTTATAATTCAAGGTTCCTCGTCAAGTATATGCAATAATAATTGTTACAATAACTTACACACTCGATAGTTATTCAGATTACAACAATTGACGAGCTGTTATCAAACATATTAAGACGTTATCAGAAGGCAAATACTCATCATATTTGTGAGATTATTCCTAATCTTTTAAAATGCTTGAGACTGTATTGTTTTGTTTTTCAGCAATAATATTAATACACCTATCAGTAAAGAAAAAATATTTTTTCGAGGCACTTAAACTGCTACACTAGTATTCTAAGCTAAAAAAATATTTTAGTAGGGAAGTTGATTCAAATGATATTCATTTTATTTTTTAAATACGCGATTTTATTATATTGCAGATTAGGTCTAGGTACTTTCGACACCTAGGATTAGAATAAATAAATCCCTTAATCCTTGGTCTGCAAACCGAAGTTAAATTGAATGAGTTGAAAGATGGAAAATTCATGGAGACGCTATCGAAGCTATAAGATAAACATATCACGATTCACGAGTGGTAATACATAGACCATGTGTTTCATATAAATAGCAGTGCTAGACGAAACTTGAGTCAGTGTGGAACCATAAGTGCAAGCAACATGAATTACGATTTCTCATATAAAGTAGTGCTAGTAACTGGCGCGAGTGCCGGTATAGGCGAGGCTATAGCTCTCCTGTTCGCTAAACTTGGCGCGAAGCTGTCGCTGGTGGGAAGGAATGAGGCTAACTTACGAGCAGTCGCGGCCGAGTGCGAGAAGCAGAAGGGCGTGAAGCCACTGGCGATGGTCGCGGACCTGGGGACTGATGAGGGGGTCCAGAAGACTGCCAAAGATACCCTCAAACATTTCGGACGGTAATTATATATGGTTTAATTTAAGCTCACTACATTATTTCTTCTCTTTATTACATTTACGGTGCAAAGATTGGAAAACCTATCTTCATAACTATATACTTTCTTCATAATTTAATGATTTCTCTAACTTAAGTAATAAAACTATAAAGCTACAAAATGCTTAATTCATACTATTTTCATTTCCAGACTAGACGTCCTCGTGAACAACGCAGCCATTGGTGTCTCGACATGGCTTCTGCACGAAACTGACATGAAGGTATTCGACGATGTGTTCAGGATCAACGTGAGGGGAGTGTACTACCTCACCAAGCTCCTGGCCCCCGCCCTCGTCGAGAGCAAGGGCAATATTGTCAACATCTCCAGTGTTGCTGCGACCATGGTCTCCGTCGGCAGTCTGCCTTACGGCATGAGCAAGGTAATTATTATCAGAAGTTGTTTTGCGGCTAATTTTAATCCACAATATGGCAAATTTAACTTTAAATGTAGTGGTAAATTATTGATAATTCTGAATGATACTTTCCAGGCTGCTCTGGACCACTTCACCAGGCTAACATCCCTCGAGCTGGCTCCTAAGGGCGTCAGAGTCAACACAATCAGTCCTGGAGTTACTGTAAGTATATTCTAATAACTTATCAAGTGAACAAAAAATTTAAATAATCATAAAGCTGGCACCAAACATGCCTCTGAAGTTACCACAGAAAGATGACATGTATAAAAATACAATAAAAAGAAACAAAAAAGACGTATAAAATACTATAAAATTAGGTGTAAGTAGTGAAAGAAAATACAACAAACGCAAAAATAAATATTTCAATAAAAATACACTATCAAACTTTTTCTTCCAACAGGAATCGGAATTCGTAAAACGTATGACCGGATTCAGTGACAAGCAGTACAAAGAATGGTTGGCAACACTAAGCAAGAAGATCCCCATGGGGGAGCCATGTTTAGGAGGAGACATAGCTCGTACGGTCGTGCACATCGCCAGTGACTACAGCAGGCTGGTCACTGGGACCGTCGTGGAAATAGACGGCGGCTACAGGTTCAACGGATCAAGACAAACTCCACTGTTTGACAAATAAACAGTGATTTCAGAAATATTTTCGTGTAACAAAATACTAATTTAAGATTAAGTGAACAATTGTGATAACGTTATATTTATTTACATATTAAAAGCCTTTTATTAAGTAATCCGCCTTTTTTATATAGTCAAGTATTACCTTAGTTGGTTACATTCTAAAATCCGAAACTCAAGAGCTGATCGGATTCCAAAGATGCTGCCATGAAGTATCTGAAAACAGCATTACTATGGTTCATAAATTTTGGCTGCCTCATACAGAGCGCAAGATGTGAACTATTAAGTAAATACCAAAAACCGCCTACGGACGTTGAATCCGGTGCAGAAGGAGATGGTGTAACAATCCGTTTGGCATATCTTTTTCGCAAAATTGTATATAAATGAGAAGTCGGTGACCTTGAATTAAAACTAATAAATTACTATGAGTGCAGCATTGGTATCAAATTATCAGTGCATTGTTAATTCATAGTATCCCTAGAATTATCGATCAAATTACATTGATTTTGATCGATTTCAAACTTTATGAAAAATCATTGGGCGAAACAGAAATTGGTCTTAACTTTTAAACCGTCAAGATTGTTGGCGGTTTAACAATTCCCAGATGAAAACTTTAAAAGTGAAGGGTCTTGTAATCGTTCGATTTAAACCATTCTTACAGGGACAAAATTAACAACTATTTGACAAAAGTAGCGATAGAATTAATTTGAATACTAGAGGCTAGTTTTTTAAAATAAACTTACTAAGCTACAATACCGCTTGTCCGAGTTACAACATTCCGTCCAAAATGCTATTATCAAATACCAAGTTGTAACTATATTAAATCTTAAAGAACAGTAATATAAAACTTACCTATATTTTAATTTAAGACTATATGACGTTGACTTTGGCTTACAAAACGCCCTGAAACATACAATGAAACAATTTATTTTTGTTGGTTTCAATTTTACTAGTCCTGAATATTTTATGCGATATTATCACTTAGGTCATATTCCACTTCTTTCTCTGAAAACTATAACTTTACGGCAATGTGGAGAGACATGCTTCGGTACGAATGGGTCGGCTCGACAGGAATGATACGAGGCCTCACAGAAAACCGACCCAAAACAACCACAGCATTGTATTTCGTCGTGAGGTTACCGGAGGCTCCATCCTTCCCTTCCTCCAATCCCTTTCCAATCCTTAAATCTCCATATCAATAATCCCCAAAAGGTCGTACTCGTAACTAGGTACTCTGCTGGTTTAACGACCTATCACATAAAAAAGTTTAATTTAATTTATCTATGCGCACAATATAGGTAGACCATGTCTCGTGGGCTGTGTAACAAGCCCTATCATTCAAAATGGGGCCAAACAATTTATCTTAACTAATTTTAATCGACAAATATAGCGTAGCAAATAGAATTAACCGAATTAATTCTACTATTTGCATATGCCTTTTTTATTCTAAAACGGTCAGCCCGCCTATGCTTGGCACGGGTGCCCATTTCCACATTATTCCCTCTACTTTTCTCAAATCACTAAATAACAATCAATAACGAACACAACAAAACAAGAATTGGTAAAATGGTCGAATTATGTATTACTTACCAACACAATTTGCTTTTTATTATTCTAGATTGTATTTAATATCTGACAGAATCAATTAAACAGAATCCCTTACTCTATGGTAATGTCCTGGGAATATTTTTTTGAAATATTTCGATAACATCATCAGGAAGTCGATCCGAGGTTTTTTAGTTAAGAGTAGCACTTGTGGTGACTCGAGCTCGTAGCAATCCCATAATTGATATTTAAGCTTATCAGAATGTTATCTTTTAGCCAGTCATTGTATATTACTTCACACACAACAATATCAAGTATGCAATTTTATTTGTGTGTTCTTAGTTTTCAGCTGATTAGATAAATGTACAAAATAATATTACTCATACTGAACTTGGTGTGGTACCTACACACTTATCTCTGGGTGTCGATAATCAATATAGAAATAAAATTATGATAGTAGTAATTATATAATAACGTTTTTTATTGTTTTGTCTTAATCAGTATATCAAAACTAAAATTTTTATAGCAGCAGTACGAGCACTCTTTGGAAAACTATTAAGATTAGGATTTTTTTTTATTGACATTTAATATGTTATTTCTATTTCTTTCATTCAACAGCCAGGGAGTTTTCCGAGATATCTACGCTTAGCAGCCAATTAGGGGTCATACTAACTGGTCTTCTTTAATGAAACTGACTATCTACTAGTAGTAGTATCTACTACTGTAGTTAGAGTAGTTCAGCTACATTGAGCTGAAACCACTGAAACTACAGTTACCTACTTAAATCTTCTCTTTCTCCCTCCTCATTTTTATTTTTATTTTATTTTGTGGTCCTGTTACTTCAAACTTTTATTGTGTTGTTTTTTTTTATTGTTGTATATTTTTTTTTTTGTTTATTCTTGGCCTTCATGCCTGGGTCCGAATAAAAACAGTTTTCTTTCTTTCTTCTTTCCTCCTTTCATCACCAAGTTCCTAAAAACTGCCAAAAATTGGTAGCCCTCTAGTGTTGCGCAGGTCTGTGGACGGCGAGCAAGGGTAGCTCGCCGCCTGTGAACCAGACCCAACGTACAGTGCGTACGTTCCGCGCTCCTCATAGAGCTAATAGACCCATAGGGCTGATGTTCAGTCGGGGATGCGGGTAAATAAAAATAAGGCAGGAAAATAGAAACAGGAGTAGGAACGATGGGATTTTAGTTAGTAAAATTCTCCGTTTCACCTTACCCTGGACGAGAAAAGACATTTTTGATGATTTTCTTCTCCCAAAAAAACAGCAGTATGCATAGTCATTAGGGGATGCGTCTAGTTTGCCGACCTATTTCGCGATAGAAAGCAGGTTTACCTTAATGATATCAATAATTTGTATAACATCGCACATGTTGGGCAGAGAAGGAAATTGTGTCATTTGTAACAACCACTTTTATATGAAGCATAATAGATACTACAGCGAGAATCAACATACTAAAAATAGGTACACAGTGCCGGAAATGTAACTATCTTGCTATCAATCAGTTACCACCTATCTACGGCATGTTTTGACCAGCCTTTATCTTATTTATTTACATTTTTAGGGTACTGCGGTTGTGTATTAAATAATCCGTATTACTTGAAGGCACCAGGGGGTTGGTACAAACATTAACATCCCGATCATCGTCTTCACAGTTTATCGCAGGGCGTAGAATTTTATAATCAGACCGAATTAATTACAAAAATAACGGACGTCGGCGATCCGTCTCAGATGACAGTCACCGCGCTCCGCCGCGCTCGCTCTCCACCTCTCCACCATAATGCTCACGCAGAACTGTCAGTTTGACGTTCCGCCAGAGTACAATTCATTGTACCCTCGTCTGATGAATTGTGATAAAACCTCCTTCAAAATTCATTTTAAATAATCGACGCGCCGTCATACTTACAGAACAATCTTTTCTTGATATAATTTAGCTAAAACGAAAATAAATAATTTAAAATTCAGGTAGATATTATTTATTTATTTTACAATCAAGTTACAACAACATGACCACTACAGACAACCTAAGTAACGAAATTGTATTTATACAAGTTTCCTATAAAATAATATCCTGTAAACATGACGTTACTATTATGGAGAAGCAACTCAATGTTGTGAATTTAACAGCCAAGGTCAAAACAAGGTCGGGTACGGAACTCTAGAGAGCTAGATAATCAGGTAGATACCATGACCAGTGATCCTATAGATACCTAGTTTTATTATCAAATCGTATGTTGCACAACACACTGTAATGGTGCGACTGAATACCCTTTCAAAATATTATGAAATAGGTACTTTATCGCAATGACAGACAAAGTTGTACTAAATTAAACATTCAACATTTTTATTAATTTTAACTGTTAAATATCGTTCCTTATTACCTCATGGTAACACCCGCAACACCAAAGAAGTTATGAAGTCCTTTTAATAAATATTTTGGATTGAGACGGTATGGGGGGAGGGGCAAGGGATTTGGCCTCCAGTTACCTCAGTCACAATGAAACACAACGCTGTGGTTGTTTCAATCCAGTCGAGCCGACCCATGCGTGCCGAAGCATGGCTCTCCCACACTTAAACGTACAGCGTACTCCTAATTTTTTTAATAGGGTCAGTCTCATATTGTCATTGATACTCTTCCTGAGACTGACGAGGAAGATGAAATTTCTGATTAAATATCTTCTATCAGAAAATCAGGTCTTCAAATTTCTGGTTAATAATCTTCTATCCAATGACAGAAGATTATTATTCAGAAATTTGAAGACCTGATTTTCTATAACTCGTCGTCGTATTATGTTTTGCATCTACTTTTTTAATATCTTGTCGATAACACTTTTCCATTTTCACCAACGACACTAAAAGTTAGGTTTAGATCATAGTATAGAAGCTTTCCGAACAAACAAGATCTAGAAAGATGAACTACCTAAACTTTTAAGGGCGTTGGTGAAAATGGACATTGTTTATTATAAAATTATTAGAGCAGTAATGCTCTAATAACTTTATATTTACTTATATTTACTTATATTATATTTTTTTGTAATGCATTATCAATAAGTTTTTAAAAAATGTCGTGATTATAAAATCTTCTTGAAATCCATGAAACAAAATGATTACTTAACATTTTGATTTATGTGTGGCTGGTTAGGTACGTCGTTGGAGGTAGAACACTATAGGCATCTTGTAACAAACGCTTGATTAAATTAAATACGGGAAGATGCCTATAATATACTTACTTAAGTGTATTTTTATACCTTTAGGACCTGCCAGTCGAAAGGACTATAGACTTTCGCTTCAGATATTTCCATGTTTGTTACATACCATCGCATCAGATCGTGGTGTTTACACTCATTTTTATTTCAGTATATGGTTTTTAAAACCAAACCCAGAACTATTGTATTTAAAAACTGGTGCATACTTCTAACTTCCGTTAGACAAATCGTTCTCCATTGATTTGTTAGTGGTCGTAAATACCAACTTCTTGAATTTTCTGGGGTGTATGTCCAAGCTAACTTTTAAAATAAGGCTTTGACATAAATAGCAATAATATATTTTGAAACACCATCGTATTTTACGTATTTTTATTTTTAAAGTTAAAAAGATATAAGCCAAAAACGAAATTATTTTTTGTTTTTCGTTGATTACCAAAAGTGCTATTTTGGTGTTTACGACCTTTGTTGTCGGAAGCATCGATATGTTACACATGCAGAATAATCAGGAAATTATTGGTCTCTTTCTTTTCAACTATTGGCGTCTATCATGGTGCTCTCATGTGGCTAGAAAATCTACCTTTTTTTCATCTACACATTTCGCGTAATTACCGCTGGTGGTCGGCCTTTCAGTTCGTCATACGTTGCACCAGAGAGCCTACTAGTCTCGAAGGCAGAAACCTTCTGTCGCACTAGTGACCTTCACTCTCCGCGGTCAGGCGCCAACTTTTCACACTGAAATGGATCTATGCCACATTTATCGTGTGTCGCTTAAGCTTATCCTTAATTCGGGAAGTTTTTATCCACAGATTAAATCAACACCTAAATAACATGACGGCCTTGCAGAAGGAGGCTACCAGCTGAAGGTTTCCCAGATCCTCTCACATTGTACTAAAACTGGGAGAGGTTGCCGTGGCGTTATCGTTATCGTTTCCCTGAGAACATGGCGTCACTTAGTCTAACCAGGGCACACTTACACCGTATGCTCCTCTGTATCCTTCGGGTGGTCCCTGCAGTGAGCTCATCCCGATGTTTACTTCCACTGAATCTGAAACCGTTAACTCCTGAAACTTTCGTGTCCGGTAAATACCTGAGTCAGAGTGATGATTGCCTAGAATACTTTTTGCTCCAAAATGTTATTCAAATTAACACAGGACTTTAACGGTCCGGAGCAGGAGAAGGAAGATGAAGGCATTTAGTCAGTGAGAGTCTTACACACCCTCTTGCCCCTCCCAGGAGGAGAAAAGGCTTTCCATGATTTTGCCCAAAAAGAAATGGGGGAATAAAATTAAGGAAAATAGATTTTCCCTTATAAAATTTTAGTTATCTGTCAATTACAGGATATCTTGGTGTACATTGCAGCTGTGGGCCCACAGCTTCCTTCGTAAATCTGGCATGAAGATCTTCGACTGCGTATTCAGGATCCGGATGCGCGGCGTATTCAGAGGATCTGCTACTAAGGTGGCATTGGGATCCTTATCTTACGGGATCGTACCTAAGGGTGAGAATTAATCCCTTTTTATGTTTATAACTATACTTTCAAAGAGAAGACAATTTGCATGATCATAAGTGTATAAGCTTACTACTACTACTACCCGTAATACCGCGAGTCCCGCGACCTATTAACCCACTTGACAAAAAAAAATTTTAAAGGTAACCAAAGGAAATATGGCACGTCAACACCGTGTCCTCCGGGTGGTCAGCATATTAAAATGCAGCATGCATTTTACAGTAGCACCCTAAATACGGATTTAAATTAATTTTCTGAATAATTTGTTAATTAATGTACATAAGACAGAAAATTCATAAATACGTTATCAATACGTTATGATAAACATCTTACAAGCGCTAATGTAATTACAGACCATGCGAGTAATATAAATAGCAAAGCTCGACAAGAATTGAGTCAGTGCGGGAACCATAATCACAAGCAACATGGATTACAATTTTTCCGATAAGGTAGTGCTAGTAACTGGCGCGAGCGCTGGTATAGGCGAGGCTATAGCTCTCCTGTTCGCTAAACTTGGCGCGAAGCTGTCGCTGGTAGGAAGGAATCAAGCTAATCTGCAAGCTGTCGCCGATGAATGCGAAAAGCAGAAGGGCGTGAAGCCGCTGGCGATTGTCGCGGACCTGGGGACTGATGAGGGGGTTGAGAAGACTGCGAAAGACACTCTCAAACATTTCGGACGGTAATTTTTATTTTCACTTATGCTGTTTCTAACTGAAATGAAATTAGTCAACAATTTGTAAAATCTTTATTTTTGTTTGTTTCATTTCCAGACTAGACGTCCTCGTGAACAACGCAGCCATTGGTGTCTCGACATGGCTTCTGCACGAAACTGACATGAAGGTATTCGACGATGTGTTCAGGATCAACGTGAGGGGAGTGTACTACCTCACCAAGCTTCTGGCCCCCGCCCTCGTCGAGAGCAAGGGCAATATTGTCAACATCTCCAGTGTTGCTGCGACCATGGTCTATGTTGGCAGTCTGCCGTATAGCATGACAAAGGTGACTATCAATAGTATTATTTTTAGACTTATTGTGATATGCATAACATAGCAATTCAAATTACATTATAGTTCTGATTCACTGATAATTCGAAATGAATCTCTAGGCTGCTCTGGACCACTTTACCCGGCTGACATCCCTCGAGCTCGCTCCTAAGGGCGTCAGAGTCAACACAGTCAGTCCTGGAATCACCGTAAGTACCTATCTATTTATAAAAATGTCCTGGCCAGCGTTTAATACAACAACCTGCAAATTTTACTTCTTTTTTGATTATAAAAAAAATTTAAAGAGTGGAGTATAAAATTGGAAATTTAAGACCCTTTCCTCGTTAGTAAGGATGTTGAACAACCAGCCGGCTTGCCGCTGGTAAACTAGACTACTATGAAAGATGTTGTACCGTGCGAGCAAGACCTGTACCGTCTAGACTAACTAGACGAATAAGAAAGCAGTCACTGAAATGGAAAAGTCTACATGGTGTACCGTCATTTGAAATACCCGAACATTCCATATTGGGCCATCATCATAATTGTAATCTATATTTTGTTACTTTCCCCATCTACCTATTTAATCTCTACCTATTCTTCTCTACCTATTTAATAAATGTGTTTCCACCAGGTATCGGAATTCGTGAATCGTATCACCGGTTTTACTGAGGAGCAGTACAAAAATTGGTTAACCAAATTTAGTAAAAATATTCCCATGGGAGAACCATGTGTAGGAGACGATATAGCTCACATGGTCGTGCACATCGCCAGCGACCACAGCAGGCTGGTCACTGGAACAACCGTAAACGTGGACGGAGCCTACAGGTTTGTCGGTGTAACTTCATTGTTTGACGATTAAAGTTACATCATTTGTTATAAACGTATGTTAAAGTAATATTGTAATAAAAATTAAGTGAACAATTTAGTAAAGGATTTATTTATATTCCATTTTATTAATTTTCCTGTTTTGATTGACTTGCAAAATAAGAGGAAGTATTTTAATTTGAACGTGTTTATACCTATAGATAGATACGTAAAAAACGTACGTGCGTTAATTTATGGGTGCGACTATCAATGGAGGTCTGATGATTAATTAGGTCCGACAAATAATACCGATCAAAAGAACATTTGGGTGGGTCGCGCAAATACTTAAACTGTCAGAACATTGATAACTATCATCGAAAAGCGCGGCAAAGTCTCACACAGTCCTTACACCAACGATAATTGGTAAAATATTGAAAATGACATATCTGTTTTTATTTCATGTATGCATAAAATAAAAACATTTTCAATAACAAAACAAAACATTTCATGTTTTCTTTTTTCTTAATTATAAGTGTACCTACATTTAATGTGTGTAGCAAGGAATAAAAGTCTTTTTTATTTCATTTTAATTCTTACCTGGTTAAAAATCAAGGCTCATCACTCAACAAGAGAATGAGCCGTGGAACATCTAAGGATCTTACGATTGGAGAGGACGACGACCAAAGAGTAAAGTAATAAACGAGTAGAAGAGAGCCCTCTTGCGTATTATTTTGGCATACAAATTTAAAGCGCCCTCTGGATTTTGTAACCAGAAACGAATGAATGCTATATTCATACCTACCTATAGTATATGTATCACCATTATTATACATAGATTTTGATTGAGCCTGTTTTTAATTCCAGGCAATACACTGACCCTAGATAGGGTTTAATTGCCCCGATGGGCTCCGGAATTAAAAAAACAGACAAACCTAATTCAAATTAACAAACATCGTGTGAACTGTCGACATCAGAATTTAAAAGACTAGTGTTACCATACCCTCATGAAATGAATTCCCTAATGCGTTAAAATGATTAACGACTGTCGTTCAAAAAAATATAGTAAAAGCCACTTGTTAAACTATTTTCAATTAATTTATAAGCGGTATTTAAATTCACATGACTGGTTATTTATACCTATTGTTGTAGCAGTTCTTTAGATCTGCAGCACCAGGACAGTGACATCTATTGTGATATGTAGTCACTTAAGACCTTGAGTATTTCTTAGTTACAAATATAAGATGGCACCTCTATCTTTGCGATCTTGGTGGATTTAGGGCAGTGTCCCCCCTCTGACGACGACTAAGGATAGCTTGCGGCCCGACCAGAACCAGACCCGAGCGTACGGCGCGTAGCGTTCCGTTTCTAAGAGTCAATAGACCGCCACAGACGGGGCCTTATAGGGCTGATGTTTGATGAGGCAGTTGCCGGCTGTTCTTAGTGGCGCTACAAAGTAGTCACTTTTAAAAACATTGTTTCAACACTTTTGACAAACTTTCAAAACTTGCGGCTGTCCTAAATTGATTACAATACGAACACCTTTCTTAAAAAACTCATAGAAACAAATAATACACTGATGAACTGTGCGGTGATTGAATTATTTCATCTTAAAGCGGGTGGAGTGATGTATATTGAAAGATTTGAGTACAAGAAGATTTTTAATATGTCTTTATGTAAAATAATAAAATATCACAAGCATGGTTTTTTTTTTATAAATAAGTGGTCACTTTATTTAATCTTATTAAGAGCTGATTGTGGCGTTGGACCGCTGAACCTATAGGCACCATCCACTTCCACGACGGTCCCTGTGACCAGCCTGCTGTGGTCACTGGCGATGTGCACGACCATACGAGCTATGTCGTCTCCTACACATGGCTCTCCCATGGGGATCTTCTTACTGAATGTTTTCAAAAATTCCACATATTGCTCCTGCGTAAAGCCGGTAACTCGCTTCACGAATTCTGACACCTGACGACAAAAATATATGCAGCGTTACATTTTGTAGAAAAGATTTTTTACTATAGAAGGTAAGTACTTTTTTGGCTTTGCACGTCCTGGGCATATCAAACTTTTATTAATTAAAAACAACCCGGTACCTTTTCATGTTTCAAGCCGGGTCACGGTACATCATTGTACTTGCAGCTCCAACCCTTTTTTTTCAAATCAAAGGACTTCTCTCGCCCAGGGTAAGGCGAGAGAAAGGGTCAGACTCTTACTGACTAAAACCCAATCCGTTCCTTCTCCTGATTTAGGTTGAGGCTGCAGTGCCACATTGCGCTTACCCCGCAACCCTGGCTGAACACCAGCCCTGTAGGGCCCCGTCTATTGGCTTTTTGAGGCGCGCGCCGAACGCTACGCACCGTACGCTTGTGTCTGGTTCTAGTCGGGTGGCGAGCTCCGTCCGCAAACCCGCGCTTTAGGAGGCCGGAGATCATCTCTCAAATCCCGACACCTGGAATGTCGCCTACTGGGTTGCCTGGGGCGTGAAGAGGGTAGTTCCTTCATGCGAGCATCACTGCTTCGCAGAAAGAGGAGACGGCTTCCCAGTTCCTCTCGCTATGAACTATGGCGACGACTAAGGTAGGGCGAGAGATCACTTCCCCGAGGGCACGGCGGTGCTCAGCCCAAGCAGGGCACACCGCCACCATATGCTCCACCGTATCCTACATTCCGTAGGATGGTGCTCACAATGACCACACTCGGGCGTTTCCTTCCGCCGGATCCGAAACAGGAACCTACTGAAGCTGCCGTGCCTGGTAAGCACCTGCGTCAGGCGGAGGGTGAGGACGCGATGGGGTCTCTCAATCCACCCCTCAAAGAGGGGCCTTACCGCTGCCATTATATCGTGATTGCCCTAGGTTGCGACAGTCGCAGCTTCCACTGAGCCATGAAATCTTGCCGGAGGTCATTCCGCCACGCACTAATTTGGCGCGGCAGAGGATCGTTACCCCGGCGACACGCGTCTGCGTAAAAACTGTAGACGCGCCCGAGTGCCTTCGCTTCAAGATCACATGGCGGTGATCCGGCAAGAAGGTTCGCCGCCTCCCCGGAGATCGTGCGATAGCCGCGGATTATGCGGATGACTCTCTGGGACGCAACCACCGACCATACTAGGGCCCCGCCACCTCGAGCCCAACTGCTGGATCTTTGCAACAACTATCGCAACCGCTTATTGCCATCAGGTCAGCCACCGCCTGATGTGACCCCCCCGTTCGCCAGCACCAGCCTGTCGTCAGCGTAACAAACTATGCTGAAGCCGCTCGGGAGATCGGTGCGTAGGACCCAATCGTATGTTGCGATGTTCCACAGGAGCGGTCCCGATTCCTGTGGTCCAAAGGACGCCCCGGCCACTTCACGAGGACCAGTTTACCTGCCTTCCACGACAGCGGAAACTGGTCCCTTTCCAAAAATGCGCTGAACTGCAGCTCCAATCCTGGGCTCTAAGCCGGGGTTGCGGGGTAAGCGCCATGAGGCACCGCGACCTCGGCCTAGAGCAAGAGAAGGAACAGGGGGGTTTTTAGTCAGTAAGAGTCTGACACTCCCACGGAGAAGTCATTGGATGATTTTCCCCTCACAAAAAAATAAATAAAAAAAAAGCCTTGGGCTCTAACCAGGCATCGGCCCTAGTGATAATCTGAGTTACAAAAGGTAACGCCTTTTATAAACCAAAAACATAAGACGAGTGGTAGATTTGAATGTGAGAACCAGAAAATAAAAGATAGAACTTTTTGTGAGTAACAATGATGATATGAAATAATTTTTCTCATCTCTCATGTTAAGTGATAATTGAAGCCATAAATGATGTGAGTACTTACAGTGATACCAGGGCTAATTGCGTTAACTCTGACGCCCTTAGGAGCCAGCTCCAGAGACACGAGACGAGTGAAGTGGTCCAGTGCAGCCTGCAATGTGGGAAGCATCACTCATTAAGAATAATCTATTACCACTAACCATATGTTATGTGATCTAAGAAGGTAAGGACATACCTTCGTCATGCCATACGGCAAGCTACCGACAGAAACCATAGTCGCCACTACGCTGGAGATATTAATTATGTTGCCTTTGGTCTCGATGAGGGCTGGTGCCAGCAACTTGGTGAGTTGGTACACTCCTCTCACGTTGATCCTGAACACATCGTCGAACAACTGCATGTCTGTGTCGTGCAGAATATATGTGGCGACTCCAATAGCTGCATTGTTCACGAGGACATCCAATCTGAAATAGAAACGAATACAAATTAAATGCTTAATTGCTCCGATTCACCGCCATGGGATCTGGAGGTTTGCAGCTTGTAAGGATTTAATATTGTATGTGGGGAAATGATCGCATCGATTATTTTTGTATTATTATTAACAAATTATTATCTATATTGATCTCTCGTTAACATGCAATACAATATCCTATTAAATAATATCAATGAGATTTTTTGTAACTATAACGACGCAGATTCTTGTTTTCTCTTCTTCATTCAAATGTATATTTTGAAACGAACCTCAAGTTTCATTGATAAACAGATTGAGGGATTATTATTTTATTTTTTGACGTTGCAGAAGTAATGTTTCAGGGTTTCAATGTTATGGCTTTGTTCATCTTTTAAATAACATGGTTGTTGGTTCCTAATGCTATCCCAAGGCCCCAAAAATAAATCTTTCCAAACACATAAAGATTACCCCCGTATATTACTTTCAAAATTTTATATTTTTCTTTAAAATGTGTTTTTATAATTACTATTGACTGAATATTACCTCTTAAAGTGATCGAGAGTCTCCTTAGCAGTCTTTTGGACCCCCTCATCAGTCCCCAGGTCCGCGACAATCGCCAGCGGCTTCACGCCCTTCTGCTTCTCGCACTCGGCCGCAACTGCTCGCAAGTTAGCCTCATTCCTTCCCACCAGCGACAGCTTCGCGCCAAGTTTAGCGAACAGGAGAGCTATAGCCTCGCCTATGCCAGCACTCGCGCCAGTTACTAGTACTACTTTATTTGAGAAATCGTAGTCCATGTTGAGCTCGTGTTCCGCGTGCTTACTGCTTCAAGCCTCGTTTACAACTGTTATTTATACTGAGTGTACTGATACTAAATTGGGAACTTATCTTACTCGCGATGAATGTTGCTAGTCATTGTTTAGCTGTCAATGGATAACGGAAAACAAATAATGGGATTAGGAATCTATTTGTTACATAATTATTGCTGGTCAAAATAAACCATAACTGTTGATAATTTTTATGTAAATATTTTCTAAACTTCTCAATTTTTTAAATAGATACTTTGAGTAGATAGAGTAGATTGTTTTGAGGAGACGAAAAAAGGCTTATACATTTGGTGTTACTTATTCAATATATTTTTCCATAAGTACAATATATTTTATTATTATAACATAAGTTTTCAAGCATGCAAAAATTTTCATTTCTATCATACATACAAATTAAATACATAACTCAGACTTTGTAATTAATTACATCTAGAACTATTTGACATGTGTGACGAGCGTGTTTGACAGGTTGTTGAACCTCAGGGCTCCGTCTACTTCGACGTTGATGCCAGTGACCAGCCTGCTGTGCTCGCTGGCGATGTGCACGATCATCCTGGCGATGTCGTCTCCCACACACGGCTGTCCCATCGGAACATTTTTCTTTGCAACTTCCAACCACTCCTGATACTCGGCGTCGGAGCAATGAATTATGTTCTTCAAAAAGTTGGTTATCTGGTAAACAGAAAATGTTATATTAATCACTTATTCAAAATAGAATATGAATTCACATTATTAACTTTGTAAAATACTTACTGTAAGTCCCGGGCTTACTGTATTGACTCTGACACCCTTTGGAGCTAATTCAAGAGACACCAGGCGAGTGAAGTGGTCCAGTGCAGCCTAGAATGAGTGAAATAATATAAGTCAATACGTAATTAATCAATTCATAATGAATTCTACAAAGAACTTTTTTTCCAGATGAGAAAAAATCTATAAACTGTCCTTACCTTTGCCATGCCATAAGGTAGAGATCCAACAGCGACGACAGTCCCGGCGATACTGGAGACATTGATGATGTTGCCCTTGGTCTCGATGAGGGCTGGCGCCAGCAGCTTGGTGAGCAGGTATACGCCCCGCACGTCGATCCTGAACACGTCGTCGAAGATCTTCATGTCAGTTTCGTGTAGGATGCTGGTGCGGGCACCAACGGCTGCGTTGTTCACCAACACATCCAACCTATAATAGGAAAATAATCCATGATTACTTTTTACAATTATAGGATTTTTTTCAAATGTAGATTTTGGATTCATTTGTATATTATTATTGTTTATTATTTGCTTGATTACACTCCGATAATATTTACTATCTGATAAGCTACCGAGCTGACAAGTTATCATGACAAATAATTTAAAGTAGGTTAACAGGAATACAGCGTTGAGTAACAACAGGGTAATACTGAAAGATAGAGCTGCATAATGACGGCACATGAACACAATTTTGACATTTTTACCTCTTAAAATGTTTAATGGTCTCTTTGGCAGTCTTCTGGGTCAGAAAAATGATTGAATTGAATATTAAGAGAATTTAAATAACATGTACACTGAGGAATCTACCTCTTAAAATGTTGGAGAGTCTCCTTGGCAGTCTTCTGGGCCCCCTCATCAGTCCCCAGGTCCGCAACAATCGCCAGCGGCTTCACGCCCTTCTGCTTCTCGCACTCGGCCGCGACTGCTCGCAAGTTAGCCTCATTCCTTCCCACCAGCGACAGCTTCGCGCCAAGTTTAGCGAACAGGAGAGCGGTGGACTCGCCTATACCTGAACTCGCGCCAGTTACTAGCACTACTTTGTTAGAAAAATCGTAGTCCATGTTGATAATATTTTTTAAATAATTCCTTATTTAATAATAATCGCAACTATGCGTTAGAATCTTAATATAATCTGTGTATTCAAACAATCGGAGCCAGTTTATATACAGCGCGGGCTATCATGACGTGCGTAGTGTGTGAAGTTGTTAATAGAATCCTAAAGATATCTCGATATAGATATCAGCAAATATTATTGATACTATTATTTGTCACATAGCATTAACATCGCTTGCTGTATTGTTCTCAACTATAACCTAAAGAACAATGCAGGAGTTAACAAACGTCAAAGCACTGCTCTCTTAGGTCGTATGCATTTTGACCTCTCAGAACCAGGGGGAAGATCAAGTTTGTTATTCGAGTATAAAATATAACACTTGAGTTTTTTTTTTAATTTCTGGTCTTCTACCATCTGGAAGGTGTTTATCTATATCAATTAAAAATATTAGCACGATGTTGTAAGTACCTACTCCTACAAATTAAAATTTTGCAAATCATTGTGATATTTCATAATATTTTGCAATGGCATCGTGCCTTGAATAGTTGCGCAATATTTGGTAACATCAGGAACATCTGATGTTTTACATGGTTCAACCAATTTAGCTGATAATGTTGTAGGATTGATGTTTTGTATACAAACATATAAAGAAAAAATATATCTTGAACTAAGTACCTACTGGGTCTTATTTTTCGAGATGTTCGTCGTTTCGACAAATATTTATTTTAGTTGTTCCCAGTTGTCACAAATATCCAAAGTGCTTAACTTACCCCGATTATAACAAAATTGACACGGCACAATGAAGTAGTAAGTATCTAAGTGTGGGATAGCCATACATTGGCACGAATGAGCCAGCTCAGAATACTGGCGTGAACTTACATTTTATTTCAGCGTGTGAGTGAGATTACTGGAGGCCAAATATGGGAGAGACAAGCTTTAGAATGAACGACGGCCTCATAGAAAACCGGCGTGGAACAACCACAGCGTTGTGTTTCTCCGTGTGAGTGACCACCGCATGCCCAATCCCTCGGCTTTACGAGTGTCCAACAGGGTTCGCTATTAGGACCAATTCTTTTTGGTTGAAATAAATTAACGACATAGGATTTTTAAGATATTTTTCGTAAATTTTGTTAATGTCAGTTTAGTTCGGTGTCAAATAACTACCATGGGCGGCGCTGATTGCTTACCATCAAGTAATCCGTCTGCTCTATTACATAAAAAAAACTAATAAACAGCAAATATATTTTATGTATAGAGAAGAATAGAATAAACGTTCACTACAATTGATATTAAATGTTCAGAGATTCGAATTTGTGTATTGATTCTAAATTATAAGTAATTGCGTTTTGAAAGCGCCCACAGTTTTAGTTCTGAGTTTTTTTTAGCGTTTTTTCTCATCCTGCATCACCTAATCCACATCCGACCTATCATGTACCAATATATATGTATTGGTACATATATATTTATATATTTATTGGTACATGAATATATAATTATATACCTAGTCTAGCCATAAATACTGTAACAATATTTTTTTTTTCTATTGCAAGTAACATTTATTACTTTTACAGTATGTAAGTTTAATACATAAATATAAAACAATTTAAAACATAAAAAGCTTATTCGAAGTGGTCTCCATTGGCTGCAATACAGTCCTTTAAACGTTGAGGCCAGTAACAGAAGCACGCACTCTTTCCATGGGAAAATTCTTCACTGCCAATCGTATGGTGTTTTAGGGAATCCAAATTATCACGACGTTTAGAGCAAGCCCTACTCTTATGTCCTTATATTTCCTATGTCAAAGAGTATGAGAGTATGAGACATGAACGTAAGAAGTAACTCGAATTTCTTATCTTCCATCGCGCGTGCAGCCTTAATTGTTTAAGTTACATAGAAATCATATATCTCGGGAATGTTCTAAAAAAAGTATCTACAAAACATGCTACATAAGTGTATGTCTATCTCTTATGGTTGACTCACAATAACACGTGTAACTCCTGATAGCTTAGCACTTCGGAGCATTCTGATTATATTTTTTTCACTCTTACGTTTATAATACTCTCATCCATTCCTGATTAAATAAAGTTAACACTATGACATATTAAATAAAAAAATTATAATAGACATCGGTATAGAAACGCGTCATCTAGCCCCGGTCATCGGGGCTTGTGGAATCGGCGAGAGGTGTCGCGCGGTGTTCCACAGGGATCGGTCCTGGGACCTCTCCTGTGGAACATCGGGTACGATTGGGTGCTACGCACCGACCTCCCGAGCGGCGTCAGCATTGTCTGTTATGCTGACGACACGCTGGTGCTGGCGAACGGGAGGTCGCATCAGGCGGCGGCCGTGTCACAAGCGGTTGCGACACTCGTTGCAAGGATCCGGCAGTTGGGACTCGAGGTGGCGCTTCACAAGTCCGAGGCCATGTGTTTTTATGGCCGTCGGAACGCGCCACCTTCAGATGGGTCCCAAATAACGGCAGGAGGAGTTACCATCGGCGTCGAGTCGGCGATAAAGTACCTGGGTCTCGTCCTCGACAGCCGATGGAACTTCACGGAGCATTTTCGTCGTTTGGCTCCTAAGTTGGACCGGTCTAGGGCCGCGCTCAAGCGGCACCCAACCTCGGGGGGCCAAACGCCTCCTGCCGGAGGTTGTATATGGGGATTGTGAGATCCATGGCCCTCAACGGTGCCCCTGTGTGGGCGCCGGACTTGAAGCGACGGCCGGCTCGTACGCTGGTCGCGTCCCAGAGGGTCATGGCTATCCGAATAATCCGCGGATATCGCACGATCTCCGGGGAGGCGGCGAACCTCCTTGCCGGATCACCGCCATGGGATCTGGAAGCGAAGGCGCTCGCGCGCGTCTACAGTTTGCGCGCAGACGCGCGTCGCCGGGGCGAGGATCCTCTGCCGCGCCAAATTAGTGCGTGGCGGAATGAGCTCCGGCGAGATCTCATGGCTGAGTGGAAGCAGCGACTGTCGCAGCCGGGCACGCTATTATAGCAGCGGTAAGACCCCTCTTTGAGGAGTGGCTTGAGAGACGCCACGGCGTCCTTACCTTCCGCCTGACGCAGGTGCTTCGGTAGGTTCCTGTTTCGGATCCAGCGGCAGGAAACGCCCGAGTGTCGTCATTGTGAGGACCACCTAAAGGATACAGTGGACCATACGGTAGCGATCGGCGGCGGCGACCTCTCGCGCCCGGCCTTAGTCGAGGCCATGGTGCGGAGTGAGAGGAACTGGGACGCCGTCTCCTCCTTTTGTGAAGCAGTCATGCTCGCAAAGAGAGAGGCGGCCCGCGTGAGGGAGCAATCCTCCTCCTCACGCCCCAGCAGCCGCAACTGGCGACACTACGGGCGTCGGGAATCAAGGGACGATCTCCGGCCACCGTAATCACGGGCCTGCGGTCGGCGAGTAAGGGCAGCTCGCCGCCCGACCAGAACCAGGCCCGAGCGTACGGCGCGTAGCGTTCCGCGCGCGCCTCAAAGAGCCATTAGACCACCCATAGGGCTGATGTTCAGCCGGGGTTGCGGGGTAAGCGCAATGAGGCACCGCGACCTCGGCATAGAGCAGGAGAAGGAACAGGGGGGTTTTTAGTGAGTAAGAGTCTGACACTCCCTTCTGCCCGGCCCTGGGGGGAGAAGTCATTAGATGATTATCCCCTCCCAAAAAAAAAATACAACTTGCAACTTAGCTTTAAGTTTACTAAGGTACTTGCGTGCTAAATTTCAAGCGTCTAACTTAAGCGGTTTAGATTTTTCATACAAATGTATGAATGTGTCCCGCTAATTTCCGTTCCCGTGGGAATTTCGGGAATTCCTTTCTTAGTGCAGCTCTACGATACCTAAACTACGTCCATTCCAAATTTCAAATGTCTACGTTTAGCCGTTTAGGTTGTGTGTTAATATATCAGTCAGTCACTTTCTTTGTATATTTAGATTAAGCTAAAAATCCGTCGCGCCGTTGCACACGTGAACATTGAATAATGCTATAATGTTCATATTTGTGTAACAGTTGCCGCGCTCGATGCGGCACGGTATAAAATAGAATAACACACCGGTTTTATAAGGTATTTGTAATAATAGGTCTTTACCTATGAAATTGCCGTTTTGCATGAAAAAATTTAAACGAATTTTTTGATTTGAAATGCGATAAAAATGAAACAATAATCAATAAACAAATGATTACTTCTAGAAAAAGAATCCCATGTTTTTAAAACAAAATTAATTAGCCTTAGCCTAACAAAAATTATTTTGATTTGAAATGGCCAGTACTGCAGAACGGCAATTTCATAGGTAAAGACCTATTTACTTACCTATTAGTTAGATCCGTACCATTTTATCTATGGACGGACGGACAGCGGAGAATATCAGAGCATAAATCGAATTACATAAAATTAGTTATACAATAACTAATTTTATGTATACTTCGATTTTGTTATTTGGCTATAGGCTTTTTATCAATACACCACGCGGGCGAACTATCATCAAATCTACTCGAAGTAACCGTTGATGAGAGAGCTAAACCTGTAGTCGCCGTCTCTCTCCGCGATGGTCCCTGTGACTGTGACCAGCTTGCTGTAGTCAAAGACACTGTTCACGACCATGCATACTATGATTGTCATCTCCTACACATGGCTCCCTTATAGGAATCCTCTTACAATACTTTTTTTAAGGAGAAAAATAACAAGTATCCAATAATGGTAGCCGCCCAGATTCCGCCGTTCAAAGCTACTAGATATTTTTTGGCCCTTCAAACTATAGGTCCTACTAAAGGTATCGACTCTGCATTTAACAGTTTAAGTCTAGCTTATTGGATGGATTACAACATATCAAGATACGTTAGGCAAACTACAGAAAGAAAACACCTACTTAACACACACCGTACAAGATCTGCAAATCAGACTTCAGGTCATGGAGCAGCACAACCGGTCTAGTAACCTGGAGATACAGTGTGTACCCGAGCACAGACAGGAAAACCTGATGTCTACTATATTGCAACTTGCCAAAGTAGTAT